GAGAGAGACAGAGACAGAGGGGGACAGACAGACAGACAGACAGACAGACAGACACACAGAGAGAGAGAATGAGAGAGAGAATGACAGAGAGAGAGAGAGAGAGAGAGAGAGGGAGAGAGAAAGAGAGAGAGGGAGAAGAGCTAGTATTCCCTAATAACGCCCACGGTACATCACACACAAGGAAGCACCGAGGAGAAAAGTGTCACCGATCCGCCCATCAAGGGTAAGGGTAAGCCGCAGGGGTACGCCACACACAGTGATCAAAGATACCACAGAAGACTCCATAGATCACAGATGGACACATTCTCAGATAAGCTGGAGGGATCCCGGATAGTCAGGTATTCGTGGAACCGTTGGTTCAAGACCCAGGCTCAGGAGTCGTTCGATCTTGGATAAAGTATTGATCGATGTTTGGCGTGTTTCTCGAATTATGCTTGTCTGGGTTTGTGGTACAGAAACGGTATAACAGTTTTGCTTCGGTCTGATAGACAGTCGTGGTGTAAACTTATAAGCGGACTAACAGCAAACAAAATAATTGAAGAAGGAAAATAGAACGAGCTTAAACAATGAAAGATGGCTCAACTACGGGAATCTGGTGGGGTATTGTTTTCCTCTCTCTCTCTCTCTCTCTCTCTCTCTCTCTCTCTCTCTCTCTCTCTCTCTTTCTCTCTCTCTTTCTCTCTCTCTCTCTCACACTCTCCTTTTCTATTATTATTATCTGTCTCACCCCTTCCCCTCTCTTTCTCTTTTTTCTTTTTCTTTCTCTTTCTTTCTCTTTCTTACTCTTACCCTCTCCGTCTCTATTCCTCCCTTTGTCCCTCCCTCCCTCTCTCTTTCGCGTTGTCTTCAATTTGCTATTGATTTTCCCCATTCTTATTTGTCTGAAAGGCAATGGTGGATGCCCAATGATAATTAATGAGTATAACGCTAAACACATCTATGTGTTCAACGAGCTAGACCAACAGCAAGTTTTCTTCTCTCCCCGCTGCCTCGGCGAGACTATGACTTCTTTGTCAGTGGAGATCGATTTCGCAAAAGTAAACAC